CTTAAAACCATTATCCAGGACGTAAGTGAATAAAAGACATTGGGATTTGAGAGGTGAGCAAGAAGTGATCAACACTGGTGTGAAATTAACTAAACAGCTGCACTTTTAGTGTAATTATACTTTTAAAAGGGTTCACCAGAACATAACAATCTGTCGTTATTTAGACATTACAACTCTGCATTGGAATAGATTTAAAACACACACACACACACACACACACACACACACACACACACACACACACACACACACACACACACACACACACACACACACACACACACACACACACACACACACACACACACACACACACACACACACACACACACACACAAAAAGCATTTAATTAACATTGATTTTTTGACTCTCCAACAATTCATTTATTTAAAAGAAAGGGAAGGTGGAATAGAAATAAGCATAAAAAATATTTAGTAATGGGAAAACAAACAAACAAACAAACAAACAAACAAACAAACAAACAAATAAAAAATAAAATAAAATAAAATAAATAAAAAAATAAATAAATAAATTAAGTTAATTAATTAATTAATAAATAAATTATATATTATATATTATTATATATAACTAACTATAAATAACTATTCATTATAACTAAAGAATAAATCAAACAAAAAATAAAAATAAATGAATAATTAATTAATAAAATAAACGGACAAAGTAACAAATAAATAAAAAAAATAATAATAAGTACATAAATAAATAAACACAAGCAAACAAACAATGAAAAAAACACACGAATGCCTTGGGCTGATTTTTGCTGTTTAAAATAACAAATAAATAAAAAAATGAAAAAAAAAATTATATAAATAAATAATAAAACTAACAAAAAGATTTAAAAAAAATAATAAAAATAAATAAATATAAACCAGCAAACAAACTAACATATAAATCTAACAATAAATAAATAAACAAAATAAATACATAAATAAATAAAGACAGTAAATCACAGGGATAATTAAAAATTAGAAGAGAGCAGTAAAACAAGATTAGTTATTTGACAAAAAACAGTAAAATCCATTGCTTTAACAGCAACAAGTTGGCTTAAAAAGTGAGTAAATCACTGTAATTCGAAAATGCTAAGTTGACTTCAGTTACGTTCATTATGCGCATCATTAATTTATTTTATAATTTTTGAGCAGCAGGTTTATTCACTTTAAGTCAGCTAATCTCTTTTTAACAATGTTGTATGAACTTTTTTTTTTTTTAAATAAAAAAATAGTAAATAAATAAATACATAAATAAAAAATAAATAAATAAATAAATAAATAAATAAATAAATCTAAACCAAACCATGAAAAATTGAGAACAATGTAATTGTAATTTTTAGCAATGTAATCTGTTATTTCTCTCTATAAGGTAAAGCCTATAATGCATAAGCAGATGGCTAAGTTTGAGAGAGTCTTACCTCTGTTGTATATTTGGTGACGATGTCTGTGGATGTCACCATTCAAAATGAAAGCTCGGTTTTTCGCTTATAATGTCTTATTGCTTATCGTCATAATATAAAATAAGGACGCATGACTGCTGAGCGGGACTCTGCAAAATAAACCGTCAAACTCTGACCAATGTAAGGGGAGTTTATTGGCAAGTGAATTGTTTTAGCTCTTGAGGTCCGTTTAGAAACTTTGCCGTGTGAAAGTCAACCACACCAAGAACAAATAGCAACAATGTAACAATTTGCAATCCCTGTTTCGGAACAAAATAATCGATCTACAGGTGTGAAAGCACCCTAACAACCACTCAGGACATCCTAGCAACCACACCGCAAAATTATAAAAGCCCCCAGAACACAGCAACCACATGATATGGTAAATTTAGCACTAAAATGACTACTAACAGTTTAAAAGATTTAGCATTTAAATGAAAGACATAATAGCATAACAGAGGCAGTTGCAGGTCAAAACAACAACAGCGCTGGAATACTGATATCCCTACTACCACTCATGAGTACTTCGTCTGTGAACACTGCGTATACGGCATGCTTGAGTTGAGTGATGTTTTTAGTGACAAAATCTCTCAACTGTTCTTATTTGCTCAAGCGCCCGCTAAAAGATGAGATCTTAGCACCAAAGTTCAAACAACTTACGCTCCCTGTTTCACTCTATTTCACAAATGCGAGTTAAGAGCTACTTAATTAAAGATGCTATCAGCTTTCGGTTTCACACACGCCGTTTTAAAAGAGGTGTGTGTGCTTGTGTGTGTACCAGAGGAAAAGAGGGAGCGCCGAGAGGCTATGGATCGATCGGAGAGGGAGTCCGGCCTGTCAGTCAGTCTCGTCTCCCCGAGGGAGGCCGAAAAAGATCGAACACACCGATAAACATCGCATGGAAATGGAGTCAGTCCTCAGCCGCTTCCCAACACTCACAGATAGATGAATGAGGAGAAACCGATGAACTAATGAATGAGTCAATGAAGGAATAAAAGTAGATTGTGAGGATAAATGAATAACAGAAGAGTGTAATTGTCAGCTGGCCTTTCAGAGATGAATGAGGAGGTAATCCATCTAACTGATAAAAATCCCGCTCCCCTCAGAGAAAGGGGCCGCCTATGGCTGAAATATTATAGTGCTTTCGCCGCATTGGCTTTTCAAGTGAAAAATAGGACCCTGATACGGCGGTTCAGGTTACACAAATGTCAAGAAGCAATTAGGTAAGCAAGATTGTTTTGACACTCGTTTTCTTTCATAAAGATGATCGCATATTGAAGTTTGAAACGAGGGGAAGGTGGAGGATTTAGGTGTTTTACTAGCCAGCGGATAACAGATGTTTAAATCACCTGCTTCAAATGAATTGTTTAGGCCAAATTTTTTTGTGGCTATTCGATTACTTGTGCTGTTAATGAGTCTTTTCTCAAATTGCTATTTTAGGGCAATTTAGGATAAATATAATGCATTGGATAAAAAAAGATAAAATAATATTATAATCAGGGTTTCTGCATGATTCTTTAAGTCTAATTTAACCCTTTTAAGACCATTGTGAATTAAATTTTTAACTTATTCAGGACTAAACACTAAGGACTTTTCAGTAAATAGTTTTTGTATTAATGGAAGATCATCTAAAGGGATGTGTTGCTTTAGATTTCTTTCCCTAACAGCTGTTGTGATTTGTATCTCAATTTTGCAATAAAAAAAAAAAATATATATATATATATATATATATATATATGCACACACTACCAGTCACAAGTTTAGGGTCAGTTTTTTTTTTTTATTCCTAAAATTATTTATTAATTCAAATAAAATTATTTCGTTCATCAAGGCGGCATTTATTAAATGTAAAAAACAAAATCTTAAATACTTTTTCAATATTTATTTATTACTTATTGTATGTAGTTTTAAATTAAATTATTACTCCAGTCATTATTGCTTTTATTACTATCACCATTCAAAATAATAGTCTTGTAATATTAAGGGACGCTGACAACGTCATGCGTCGTCAATGACATGCGGATCCAAACGCAGGTTTACTCAGATTGGTCAGGCAAGCAACGGTCGCAATCAAGAACAAACAGATGTATACAAGCAATCCAGAGTCGTGGTCAACAAGAATGGTCAGTACAAGCAGGCAGCAAGTAATGTAAACAAACAAAACAAAGTGAGGGTCAAAACAAGGCAAGACTTCGTAATGTTGACTATTCAGTTTAACAAGACTCAGCAAAGTCTCTGTGTTAGTGTGTTGCAAGAAATAGCCCAATTAATCAGTCTTTAAGAAGCTTCAGCTGTGTGAGTAAGCAATCAGCCATTAGGAACCGGTGCGTGTGTGTGCAGTGCATGACTGGATCTTGTAGTCTAAATAATGGCTGATTTGTATTTCTATGTGATACTGTGTGTTTACCAGCGATCTAAACAGGCTGGATCACTGATGATCGTGACAAATATTAATAATAATAATAGTATATACATACACACACACAGGCTTTGAGATGGACTATTGTTGATTGGGTAGCTTTACTTGGACATAGGAGAATTAAGACCTGCTTAACATGATTTAGGACAAAAAAATATCCCCGCTGAGAATCTGTATATATTTTAAAAATACAGGCATGAGTTTAACTAGCAATCATCATGGCAAATACATCACACTTTTGTACAGTAAATCATTAAAAAATCACTACAAATACAATATAAAACGTATTTGTAATTTATTTGTTTAATGAAACTCACGCAAATGCAAAACATACATTTATTTAAAACAATTAGGTTATACTTAATTTATTTATTATACAGTATATACACAATTAATATAATAAGCTGTTGTAAAAATATATGTATATAAAACCTAAAATCTATGATATGAATTATATGAATACAGCTTTTTTGTTAACACTTTAATTATTAAATGAACATGAATATTTCATGAACTCAAAATGAAGATCCAAGTGGTTTACTTTGTGCAATGGTAGTGATCATAATGTCCGGTCATTATTAAGTCACCTAAATCAAGATCAGCCAATCACTGCAATGCAGAAACACACTTTTGATGCTAAATTGTGAACATCATAGGCTCAAATGTGTTACTTTATAAAAATTGTTGGTAACACTTTACAATAAGGTTTTATCAGTTAATGTGTAGTTAATGCATTTACTAACATTATCAAACAATGAAAAATACCTTTATTACAGTATTTGTTCATGTTAGTTAATAAAAATTCAGTTGTTCATTGTTAGTTTGTTAACTCACGGTGCAGTAATTAATGATAACAAGAATAAATTTGGATTACAATAATGCATTAGTAAATGTTAAACTATAATTAATAAATGCTGAACAAGTATTGTTGATTATTAGTTCATGTTGGCAAATACATTAAATAAAATCTTATTGTAAAGTGTGACTAAAGTGTTTATATTGTTTGATATTATATATTTTAATAAATGTATGTTTGTTTTATTGATTGGGTCCTACAATATAGAACATTTTCTCTCTCTCTTTTCCCCATTTCTAATTGTATTACATCCTGACACAACAGACATGGCTCACCTGTGGTCCTGTTCTCATTTTCTGGCAGAGACTGCGATGATGATGATCAGCAGAGTAAGCAACAGCAGTCCCCCGATCAGCAGAAAACACTTCCTCCTCCTCAGCTGCCTCTGTGAAGAACACAGAACAAACACACACTGTATTGCTGACACTGTCATTAAACATAATGGCTTCACCCCAAAGTCAGATTCATGTCATCAAATTGCTCATTTACATGTCAGTCCATCATTTAACATGCTTTACCCCGTAAAAAAAAAAAAAGATTTTTGGTAGATGGTCTCACAAAAGGTTTATAATACTCTCAAAAGTGTTATATTGAGAATTAATTATATCAATAATTATAAATGTTTGTTTAAAGCTGGTACATTCCCTGGTTTAGGCCTGCCGTGGATAAATATAGCATAACTGCATGTAGGATGCTTGAAACTTGAAACTCAAATGATTAATTTAAAATGCCAGTTTCTTTATGAATAGATTATTGAATCACAGGCTCGCTTGATTTGCTTAAAAACAGATTCATGCAGGAATGAAGCACTGCAGTGGTGATCAGTAAATCACAAAACTTCTGCTTTACCTTTAATAAAAAAAATAAAAAAAACAAACAAACTATGAAATAGACAATATTGTGCTTACAGTTAACCCAGTAATGACGAACTCATTCATTCATTTATTTTCCTTTGGCTTAGTCCCTTTATTAATCAGGAGTCACCACAGTGGAATGAATTGCTAATTATCCAGAATATGTTTTACGCAGCGGATGCCCTTTCCGCTGCAACCCAACACTAGGAAACACCCCTACACTCTTGCATTCACACACATACACTACTGCCAATTTAACTTATTCAATTCACCCATAGCACATGGCTTTGGACTGTGGGGAACACCGGAACACTCGGAAACCTGTGCGAACACAGGGAGAATGTGTAAACTCCATACAGAAATGCCAACTGACCCAGCTGGGGCTAAAACCAGCAAACATCATGCTGTGAGATGATCGTGCTACCAATTGCACCACTGTGACGCCCCTCAAAAGCATTGCATTGACAATTAATTATATCAATAATTTTGCAAGGGATTTTTTCAAACTGCTACATTAGCTGGTTTAGGCCTGCTGCAGATAAATAAATATGACAAAACTGCAAGTACGTGGCTTAAATAATTCATTTAAATTATTTATTCAAAAGGCCTGATTCTTTATGAACAGATTATTGAATCAGGCTCACCTGATTTGCTCAAAAACAGATTCATGCAGGAATGAAGCACTGCAGTGTTGATCAGTGAATCACAAAGGTTGTGCTTCAATCTTTGTTAAAAAAAAAAAAAAAAAAAGAAAAAAACGTGTGAAATGGACAATACAGAGCTTACAGTTTACTCGGTACTGATGAACTGTGGTATTAAAATAATAAAATAGTTTAGATTAGTCATATACTGTAGATATTCTGGAAAACTGCACCATTGTGTGATATTACATAACTTTATAATATCTTATACATATCAATAAAAACCCATACAGGATTTTCTTTCATTAATAACATCCTCTGACTTATTTTTAGCCATGCATAGTGCCTGTATGAAACATACAAAAATATGTAATTTTTAAAGAAAACGCATATATATATATATATATATATATATATATATATATATATATATATATATATATATACAGGGCTGATAGTGGAAAAAATTCCTGAGCCTGAACTTTTTTTCCTTGCCCCTGAGGTGAGTAGGGGTGGGGGTACTATGTATGCAACGCACTTTTAACACATAACTTGTGGGCCCCTGGGCCCAAATATATTAACAGCCTATGTGTAACCCTGATCATCATTATTGTCAAGTGGCTCTTTTTAGACACATGCCAGTAATGTCAGTGACACATGCCAGTGTCAGTGATCTTGTGACATGTGCCAGTAGGTGTCAGTATAAGCACGTTATAAGCACATTAAGTCTCTTTGCTTTAATATTTAAAAATCATTAGGCAAATGACACCTGTTATCTTACATGCATATGTTATGAGTTTTCAACATGCATTTTATTATAACTTTTTAAAGTATATTATTTAAAATACCTTAAAATGAAAATAAGTTAAATAATAAAATAAATGAATGAATTAAAAACATAGAGAAGTCCATATTGTAGGGAACAAAGGAACTGCCAGGATGCAATAATATACAGTACAACAGATAAGTGTAACCCCTCCCATACATAAGCATGCCACAATACATTTGACTGACATGTAGAACATTATGTAAAAACATTATGTAACAGAATTGAATCGTGGCCTAGAGTCAAGAGCTGCTGGACAAGCATGAGAGAGCCGCATTCACCGCCGCGCTCCAGTTCTGGCTGAACGGCGTTCGGGCCCTCTGAAGCTCTTCCACTCCGATAAGACGGCGTGGTGGAAGGAAGCAATGCTCTGTTTTCAAAAGAACATTTTGGAAAAGTGCCGAAAAGTGGACTTTCAACGTCTAAGACCGGAAACCCCCTGTGCATCTATTGCTTTGTCATGTCGAGGAATTAAGATCCAGTTCAGAAGCAACCAACAAGTGGCGGAATAATAAACAACAGTGAATGGAATTTGCTTGCTGAGTGCGTTTCCATATTTATTTATTTTCCTCCTCGGGCAAGCTCCGTCGTTTTGGAGCACGGATTCTATGTTGTTTTGAAATGCCCTTCCCCATCGCTTTTTCTTTTTTTTATTTCTGACAAAGCCAGAAAGAGCAGCAGTCGTAGACCACAGCAAGGCTGGAGTCTTTAAATCCTGACGTGCTTCAAAGCGCAAAGAGCAATTCATCTTCTTATCTGAGACTGGAAACAGGCTTTCTATGTGGAAGTGTGCATGTGGGGGGAGGAAGGGAGGGAGGCGAAAAAAAAAGAAGAAGAAAAAAAAAACTGCTGTCGAGTAATTTTCCGTTTAAACGTTCCACTCCACAACAATTTGCATAAGCAGCCCTGCGTCTGTGATAAGAAGATTGGTAATTTTCAAAGGCTCTGTAGGGATTGGGAATTAAAAGCCTCTCTCTGCTATCTCCTCTCTTGCAGCTGGTCACCACAGATTCCCTCGCTTCTTTCTTACATTTCTCCAAAAACCGCGCCTTATAAACTTTCTCTCTCTTCCGCTTGCTCTATCAGTCGGCGTACAGTCTCTCGGCGCTGAATTTCACTCTGCGTTATCCAAGGCCTGTTCTGTCATTCAGAGAAAACAGGAAAATAAATCAGGTTAAAAAAAAGGAACAAAAAAGCTTTAGGTGACAATACAACTGTTGCTCCATTTTGGAGCTTGAATTTGTATTTCTTTTTTTTTCGTCTTCTGGTTTCGCAGTGGGGAGGTGAGGTGGAGATGGAGAGCGCAGACGTTCACAGAGTGAGAAAGAGAAAGGCAAAATGACTTAAGGATAAAAGGAAAGCTGATGGAGTGAAGTGCCAGCGAGAGGAGAGAAAAGGAAAAGGGAAATGAGTTTTCTCCCTCTCCATGCACCCAATTTAGTCAAGCTGCTGTAGAAGCAGTAAAACCAAAGCACCTTGATATTGAATAAGTTTTAAGGGGGAGGTCTACAAATGATTCGAGTACTGTACGCATTTGAGCTGATAATTTAATTAGAATATTCGATTCAGTTCTTAAAGATCTGACATGAAAAAATGGCTGGTCTGGTTGGCAAAAGTGTGGTTTCTTTTACTTATGCAAGAAAAGTCTCATTCAAAAATACAAATAAAAATACTAATAATGTACAGTTAAAGTCAGAATTATAAAACCCCCTGAATTATTAGCCCTGCTGTTGATTTTCTCAACACATTTCAAAACAATAGTTTTAATAACTCATTTCTAATAACTGATTTCTTTTATCTTTGCCATGATGAATTGATGAATATTAAATGAATATTGATGAATGATGAATATTATTTACTTTGCCAGTAAATAATATTTGACTAGATATTTTTCAAGTAACTTCTATACAGCTTAAAGTGCCATTTAAAAGCTTAACTGTTAATTAGGTTAACTTGGCAGGTTAGTTTAATTAGGCAAGTTATTGTATAACGATGGTTTGTTCTGTAGACTATCGAAAAATAATATAGCTTAAAAGAGCTAATATATTTGACCTTAAAATAGTTTTTAAAAATATTTAAACTGCTTTTATTCTGGGCAAAATAAAACATGTAAGACTTTCTCAAGAAGAAAAAATATTATCAGACATACTGTGAAAATGTCCTTGCTCGGTTAAACATCATTTGGGAAATATTTATTTTGGTGTAGACAGCTTGATCATGCCTTGTCTGAAGATTATAATTAGCTAAATGTCTTTCATTTATTTTTGGGTTAATTTCATGTAATTCATTATTCAGCAGTTGTCCCATTCTTGCTATCAGAACTATTGCACTGTTAAAAATACTGTTATGGGCATTTACATTTAATCATGTTTTTTTTTTTGTTTTTTTAATAATGCTTGTATTAATATTTTATTTTATAAAAGGGCCAATATTTGAAAACCCATGTGTTTGATCATTAAAATTATCTTTACAGTAAGAAATAAATAGCTCCGTTTATTAAAAGGTTTGTTAGTGAACAAAAAAATAAGCCAAAAAGTTTTGGAAGCTCTACATTTTTATATATAGTGTATTAAAGCCATGGATATGCAGCAGGTGTAATTATGGTATATCTGTTGAAATGAATGGAAAAATTAATAAAAATGTTATCTACAAAACATAGCATAGCATTGTACAATCATGCAAAATTATTCATGTGATGAGTTCAGATGCAAAAGCCGCTAAAAGACATGTGAAACTTTCTCAGCCTGCTGTGTGTAGGTTTAATAATTTTACATTTGCGGCAAAGAATGGTTTCCTGTATTTAAGGTTAACCTAATGGGAGGCTGAAAAAAAGCTAACTTTAGAAGAAAATGTCAGATGGCACTTAGAGGTCTTTGCATCTGAACTCTTCATAACATCAAGTACATTATAACAGTAAAATGTAAAGACACACTTTCATCACTGTACATACAGTACAGTTTAAAATCGTGCTCAATTTTACGTAGAATTTGTACTGTATGCAATACTGTAACATGCCGACTCATAAATACAAACATTCAGAAGGAATTTAATGCCATACTATTCC